TAAGCGTATTCCGTACATCCATACTCATTATAAACCTTTTTCCTTGAAAGGTATAAATATAAACCCTTGACGGTAGAATAGCAAACCTTTCTTGTGGAATTGTAGAACACTAAACTCTTCTCCGTAAATCTCAGCATAATGAATTAGTTTTACTAGCCGTGAAGCTTTCTGATTTTGATGTATCCTTGGTTACATTAATCTTTAAAGGATTTAGGACATCAGCATAAACCCTTAAAGGATTTATGAATTATTGCATATGCTATTTGTGTTCTTCTTTCGGTTTATACATGTGTGTTCTCTTGCATTTGCTTTTCTCCTCATATACTTTTTGGTTGGTTCTATTTGAAAAAATTGAACTCAAGTTCACAAAATTAACAAAACGTAGTTTATTGAGTTACTGTTACATAGAAACAGAAAGAACAATTCATTGCATGAATCGAAGAATCTTTCTACTCTTTTATTTTAGCCTGTATGACAGCTTTATATGCAAAACAAAGAAACACTCCTTATCGAAACACAAACTATGATATGATGATCTTCTATTTATAAGACATACCCCGCATCTGGACATGTATTGGTTACCCTACCGGTGGGAACGGTTCCTTGTATTATTGACAAGACATAGTTTCTCTGTACTCGGGGCCTTGTCTCTGAATACTATCAACAGACAGATACTCTTCTCTCTTCAGTAAATCTATTTCTTCGAAAGAAACAAAACTCAATTGCATTTTTCTTTTTACGCATTCAAGGTTAATCCGCAGTTAGAAGATCAGGATGATTTTCAGGTACGGAACGTTGCAAAATACTCAGCGCATGTTCATACAATGAAAGTGCATGCATATAGTCATTCATGTTGTAATATACTAAGCCAATGTTCCTGTAATATGTAGCCATTTAGGATGATTTAAAGGAAGAGCTTTCTGGCGGATTTTCAGTGCTTTTTAATAATATAAAAGTGCATTCGAATGTTCTCTCATGATTTCATACACTGAATCGATGTTGTGGTAAAAAGTACAAAAACTAACATTCGTTAGGGAGAGAAACTCCTTGTTGATTTCATTGGATTGTTGAGAATAAGTAATAGCATCAGCATTGTCACATTGATCATACTTTATCAGGCCAAGCCTATGGTAAATGAGTGTCTTTCCTCGATAAGTCATTGCTTGATCAAGCAGGATATCATATACGTCATGGGCTTTGTTGAATTGCTCAAATTGAATCATCAGCATACCCAGACGGCCTCATTCTTCCACATTAGGGTAGATCTTCTGTCGCATGCTTCCAGTAAGTGTCTGAAATTCTAGATTGTTGCCACTAGTCAATGTTAAATCGACTTGCCAAATATGATTTTTTCCATTGACGTGTTTCATCGCTGCGATCCAGAAAACGGAATGCATGAAGAAGAGAATTTCTTCTTCTCCTTTGTAACAGCTGGCATTGCAGATGCCAGCAAACGGTGTTGAAGCGATGGAAGAATCAATTTTCATGACGAATAAGATGCCAATAAGATCGGATGTTGCAATTGTTCAACGAAGAAAATTGAGAGATACTTGTCATTTAGTACTAGTCGATAGAAAATTACTAAATGATAAAAGTTCATCTTGTGTATTGACCATTTGATTAAAGTAGGACTTCGACAACACTTGACCATGACAAACAGTAAATGAAGTAGAAAACAAACTGTTGAGCATGCAGCTCAACAATTTGATTATGGAGATCTCGAATAAAAAATCCCATGCTAATAATAGGATCGACCTGCATCATGCGTAGCGACCGATTTAGCATTGAATAAAGAAAAGAAGGGTACGTATATCACCATATCGAGACGTGTTCGTGATATTTCTGTTCAATTTTGACGATATTTTGCAGTTTTTTCGCATTCATAGCGAATAATTGACAATAATAAATAGCAAACTCATCGATATGTTTTTGTTTGAAATCAATGGTTAAATTATTTGGGTATATATGAACGACGAATCCAATTGATCAATGTTTGACTTGCTGCCCTCACAACTGATTATGACAAAACTGATTGATATCAAGTTACGATCACATTCTTGTGCTGCTTGTTGAAGATGTTTTCAGATAGATGTGATATCTGTAAGAACTTGTATTTTTGGCCGTCGTTTAAGTAAAAGCTTCATGGTAGGGCTTAGCTTTCACTCAAAGTTAGATATTATTGATTTGTGGAATGTCTTCGATGATTGGAAGATTTTTTTTGCCAGAAGGTATCAGAAGCGACCATAAATACTTTTTCTTCATGGATATCTGTTATAAAATCGATACATTCATTTACATCAGTGAATGAGTGTATCTTACTCACCATTTCTTTTAATTTGTTTTTGTGGTATTGATGCCACAATCATTGTTCATGTCATTAATATTGGTGTGAAACCATACCAGAACGAAGTTCTGAACAAGAAAACGAAAGAATGAAAAATAATAGAAATTCATTGCTGTACCATTTCGTACACTCTGTGACATTTTACTTTCTTTGATAATGTTTGGATGTGTGGAGTACTGTGAGTGAAGAGAAAACACTTATTTACGTACAACCACACGCACACCCTTTGAGGCGCTATTTGTAAGTAAACGGAACGTCCTCGGGAAGATTGAGAAACAATACTATTGATTGAATCTAGATACTTTCACGATGTGTTCGAGCGAGTACTCTTTGAGTTTCTGTTCTCGCGATCATTGTGACACAAAATTACAACCTTTGATGCGTATGTCGATAAAGTAAACTTACAAAGGACTATATTAATGTTGTGCTCCACATCGCATTAATGACTTCAACTTAGAAAATATTAAATTTATCGCGCCTGGTGAAGAAAAATCATGTATTTAACAAAGAAAATCAACGAAAATAAGCCCAAATATTGTTCTATATCATTTTTGCAAGTAACGCATGAAAGTTTTGAAACAGTTTCTTATGCTTCTAAGTATTATACTCTTTGTGAAGCGGTTTTGATAAACTTTTTCTCGAAAGAAGTAGCCTGTGAAGTGATATATTAAAAGAGACCAGTTTTTCGCCAGTTGAATTCTATAACTGAACTGATCAGTTACCTATTGGTTAAATCTGAAGACTCAACTTTTAGACAAAAATTAGGATTTACGTATTTGTGAAATAGGACAACATTATTTTCTATTGCTGTAAGTCATTTGTATCCATTATGTAAATAATCACTTATCAAATGCTAATATACTATAAATAAAAGAAGAAAACATTCATTTTATGAATATTAGGTGTAGTGTGTACAATTTCATGATGTTCAATTCGTACATATGATAATTGATGAATATATATATATATCTGTAAAAAAATATTCTTAGTTCAACTTGTATAAGCATCTTTTGAAGTATTATGTATTATAAGTACTGTTAATAACTTAATGATATCCAACAACAGATAACGAATAGCATTCAAATCTACTGCACTATTTTCTTGTTAAAAAGAGCGAAGTCTCTACTACAAAGATATATCGTTCAAAGCGCTCATTGAAGGTTGAAAACTTTTAAAAATCTGTTTGACTGAAAATATTCTCTGCACACTCCTGACCTTTGGAAGAAAACCTCCAACCATTAAAGAAGGAATTACCTGAATTGACACTCACCATTTAAGCTTATAAGAATATCTTCGTGAGACCTGTAAAAGTCTGAAAGGGTTGGTTACCATCGATCTTTATAGTTGAGTTATGATCGCTGTGTTGAATTTTCAATTCATCTTTTGATGTTTATAGAAAAATTTAATAATGAAGTGTTGACCTGAAATTTTCTCCATACATAGATCTGATAACCCTGTGAGTACTCAAACAGTGGGTATCAGTTTGAGCAGTTTCCTCGTAAGATAGTCATTACTATTGGATACCATGAGAAAACTTTATAGGATATTGCAGATAGAAATTTAATTCTTTTTATAAAATTCTTTTTCTATGAAACTTGTGGTTTTGTAATTCGAATATTTTGATATCACAAGTAAATCGAGTACAAGACTACTCGATCACATGCTTTTCTCATCACTGATTTTTGTCTTAAGTTGCAATGTATTTTTCTAGTCAAACATATTGTTAAAATTTTTTAACAGTCGATAAGTATTTATTATACTGAAAATAAAATTAATGCAAAAATTTTACACTATCCTTTACTTTAGACTTAACAAAATTTCTATTAGTTTGCCATATTATCGTTATTATATAGTAGAAATGAGTGAATATGTCTTGATGTTTTTCAATGATTTTTTCAATGTTTTTTCTCTACTTAAATACATCGTTCATTCTTCGTCAAATAATAGATGACCTTGAAAAAAAAAATTTTTATAAAAATATTCCTCACTGAATCAGGTAACATACAAAAAATAACTAATTTAAATAACAAGTTAATTGAACAATAATAACTTGTCTACATTCTAAATATTGTCTACTTGAATATAACACGATAAGAAAAGAAAAACTTTATCAAGATCAATTATTGCTAGGAGTGCTTTGCGGAAGAATTCAACTTGATTACTATTTTTAGTATAGATATGATACAAATTAGTTTTTGAAAAAAACATCTTTGAACAAAATAAAAACTAGTGACCAGATTCAATTGAGTTTTTTTTTTCTTTTTTTTTTCGTATTATAAATCACCTTCTACAATATTGAAAAAAACAGAAATTCAATTATTTTAATTTTAATTTGAATCAACAATTGTTTCAAGAATGTTAGACACAAATACACAAAGAGAAAAGAGTGCTTCTCTCTTTGACTGAAGATTGTTGATCGTTACCGCATTCTAACTTTTTTTTTTGTTCACGTTCCTCTTCTCTTTTTTTTACTACTACTACTACTACTCCTCTTAACATACAATCAAATAGGCGAGTAAAAGCAAAAGTAGAAAAAGAAAAAGTTGTCAGTTTTGGCGGCGACAACAACCACGGCAAATTCTCTCTCTTTTTTTTATTTATTAATAACCGCACAACAAACTTCTAACCGCTTACAATTATATATTATTAATTTACAATGAGCTATCGACCAAGAATACCTTCACTTGATGATCATTATTGTCAAGTATGTTCATCATCACCAACGAGTAATAAACCTAGACATTTATCATGCTTTTTTTGTGAACATTGTCGTTCATCAATGTGTTATGAATGCTTTGAAAAACATACAAGTCAATTAATTGATGAATTTACTCATTTACAACAACGATATTCTCATTTACAAAATTTATTTGATAATAAACAACAATTTCTTGGTCAATATCAAGAACATTGTTTACGTAGTGTTAATTCTGCATTTGATGAAGCAGTTAATGATTTAGAAAATCTTCGACGTGAAAGTATTAACTACGTTAAACAACAATTTAATGATGCTGAAGTAAGTTTTATGACATAAAAAAGAAAAGAAATAATCGACTAAAAATCATTGATATTATTCTAGATAATTTTATCCGAAATGATGACAACAATTAAACCATTAATATCTAAAGCTCAACAAAGTTGGACTCGTGAAGGTATAACAAAAAGTTCTATGCTTGAACTTGAAATACAACGACAACAAATAAATGATATTGAACGTCGTCTTGATATATTTTCATCACCAAAAATGCAAATAAAAATGTCAACATATCCTCGAAATAAACTTGACTTACATTGTCAACTTCTTTCAAATTTATATACATCAACAAAAAAATTTTCTGCTACTTATCCAGGTAAATCAATTTTAACACGATGTTTATATGGTAAATTAACTGAATTACAAAGTGAAAAAATTGATGTTGAAACAGAAGTTGAAGAACTTAATCAAAATAGTTTTATGAATAAACAAATTCAAACTGATCCATTGATTGGTTATAATTATAATATTGATTATCGTGCAGACATTTATTCACAAGATGAAACAGATCAAATGAGTGATCATCTTAATACAGAAAATTCTTTAAGTACACGTTTTATTCAACAAAGTACAATATTAACAGAAAATGAAGTTGATCGAATTGCAAGTGATGGTGAACATTTACTTTATTTTTCTGATACATCAAACTCACTTGGTTATATAACAAATCTTATACCCACTAAGGAAGCTAATAGTACATCAATAACGAAAGAAATATCATGTCGATGGCCATATTATCCTATTCTTGATATAGTTTATTCTCCAACAACATCACAATTTATTTGTGCAACTAAAGCCGGTGTCTATACATGTACTATTCTCAATTCAACAATTGATATACAAATGCAATTAACACAAAATTGGTCATATGTTAGATTAGCAGCTGATAATAATTATATTTGGATTTGGACAGATACTCCACGATTAAATCAATTAAGTATATATACACCAAGAACATTTAATTGTATAAAAGTATTTAATTTAAATGAATATCCACGTTTTCTGGATAATAGTACATCATTTTGTATACATTCAAATATTTTAGCAACATTATTTCAATTTCGGCCCATATCACATATATATACATATAGAAAAATTTTTAATTTAACATTATGTGATAGTATTGATTTACATGAATTATGTACAATACGTTTAGGTGAATGTGATATTGATCATGAAATACGTGTTAATAATAATGGATTATTTTTTATAACAAATGGTAGAAAAACATTATGGATTGTTGATCAACATGGAAGAAAAGAATATGTTCCATTATATCGTATAGGACGTGCTTTAACAATACATGCAAGAAATAATATTATAATTGCAAATGGTACACAACAATTACAATGTATTGAACTTATAGAAAAAGATTAAAAAAATATTTTAAATTTCGTAGATATTATATTTTTATTTACATGCGTATCTTCTTTTCGATAACCTTGATGATACATAAACAGAAACCTATTTTAGTATAGTGTAATTTATGCAGTATATAAATAAAATATTTATGGATTCTATTGATTAACAGTTGTTTTCTTTTGCTTTATTTGTTCTATTCAGTTGTAGATGAAGAAGAAGAATACATTATTTACATTTTTTTTTTTTGTAGAACAATCATTTGGAAGTTGATTATAAGTGTTAATAGAAGATCAAATACACAATTTTCATTTCTTTCTTTTTTTTTTGTATTGCACTGGTTCATTATAAAAACAATATTATTCAATTAATTCAAACTTAGAAGGCAGACGGATATATTCACTAAATAAGGGCGTGGAAAAAAAGTTTAACAAAGATACATTTTTGATTAACAATCTTCTTTTTGAAAAGCACGAAATAAGAGGTCACCGTATTTTCTGTGGCTTCCCTTTAACAGTTAAAAGTGACACAAAAATCGAAAGTGCATCGGCAGGTCAACGTCTTCTATTGAAATGTAACAATTGATTGTAATACCTTATTATTATAAAAGAAAATCATGTTTTCAATCTTGTGACACTCTATACAGCGACTATACATCATGCATACTAAAAACGAAATTTATCTTTTTCTACTGTTGCAATGAAGCAGATAAAAAACAGTGACTGCTAAGAAAACGAGTTTAATAACAATAAAAGAACTTTTTATTAAAAAATTATTTTTCTTGCATCGGTTTTTGTTTGTAATAAATCCTGCTACGATTTAATCTATATTAACTTTTAAATTCTTTTCAATATTCAATACCACTAACGTAAATTTCATAATCTTTCCTGTTCCATACTATTCCTTAAATAAGTTTTTAGTTATCTTAATCACAAAAAAATTCGTTTACATTCATAGCAATTAACCAGTATAGTCGATGAACTGTTTAATAATTCATTTATACATGGAAATGCTATACTTTCCAAGTATTTTTATTACTCATAGCAGCATTTTACAGTAAAATGTGTTTTGACTATATATACATGCCACTAAGAATTTTTTAAGTGTAGCAATCACCACTAATTTCCTTTTGGTGGTCTGTCCATGATTTCATGCATTTTAAAATGGCATTGTTAAAAAATAATCTTCTCTGATTCGAAAACTACCATGGCCAGTTTTTTTTAGACACTTTGACATCATACTTCATCTAATATAGAATGCATTAGATACGAAACTCAATTACCTATTAAAAATAATATCGGGATTTGAGCTAGGTGAGTAACGTTATATAATAGAAAAGTACGCTTTTGTTAAATTATTTTTTTCATCACCTTATCTCTTGTATTGATGTAGTGAAAAAATGTGATAATAAATAGATTATTGAAGATTTTATAGTTTTGCTTCGGGTCAGTAGAAAAATGATGAGAATAAGTCTCAGGAAAATTATTTCACTTTGAGGATTTTGTTAAATAATTTTCAACATTACATTTCATAGAAGATTGTATTATGAAGGATATTTATTAATAAAAAAATAGTTCATGTCGATTTTTTTTTAATTAGTCATGAACGATAACAATCTTTCAAGATATAATAATCTATATGCAGAAAAATTCCAAGCGTCAATATTGTAATGATTTATTGTTTCTGATTATGAAATCTTTAGACATTTTTTTTTCTTCAGTCTAGTAATTCATCATTAGAAAAATAAAATGAAAAACACTAGTTTAATAAAAGAGAAAGATAAGCATGTACTTTTGACATAATTATTACTATATTCCAGTAAAATTAAATTTTAAATTTAATAGTAACGATACAAACGTCAAAATACTGAAAAAGCCTAAAACACATCCGGTTATAGAGCTAAGAAATTTTTCAGTAATTTGACCATTATACCGTCATTTCTCTATCAAATTAAAAGCTTGTAAAAATGATCAGTATAGATAACTCTACAAAGTCTGATAGGTGAAAAAAAATTTTCTAACAACTTTGGTCTTTCTGAGTGATTACCCAGGAGAAAATATCAACGGAGCCCATGTCTGCTATTTAGCATATTATCATCATATGAGTTATTACTTATACTCCTGAATTCCGTTTCTGATTGGCTTTCATTCGACATAAAAGTTTACTTTTATTTCTTTTAGTTGTATTCCCTGAAAATACTTTTTTCTTTTCGACAATCTTGTAGAATCAAATCGTTTTCAGTGTGTTTAGCTAAAACATGAAACATCATGTAGACGAAAGAATTAGCCTTATTCTAAAATGTTTTTAGCATTATTTTTGATCTACAACATAAACATATGTTTTCATTTAGTACAATACAATTTTTTTTATTATCGTAGAACAATTTTCTAATAATAACTTCCATGATGTTTATTCTGTATAGTCTTACAAGAATGAACTATTTTCAAATATTTTTGTGTAATCTAGAGATCTGCAACTAAATACTTCTAGATATATTACTAATTTCAAGTTATAATAGATTATCAGAGGTACTAGTCAATGCGACTCGACGACATCATACTGTAAGCCATTAGTTGGAAACTTCTTCAGCCAATGAAATTGAAGCAATATGCACTTTCTTTCTTCCCTTCTAGTTTCCAGTTGTCAATTATAAGTAATTTCTACAATTAAAATTTATTATTCAAAATAAAAAAAAAATGGAATCTGTTAATTCTAATATTGATTTAACAGATAGAGAATGTTATTGTTGTAGAGAAGAATTTAATCGTTTTTGTTCATCAACATCTAATTGTTCTCAATGTAATCAATCATTATGTTCTGAATGTCTTTTAAGTCATTGCAAAAAACATGAACAAGAAACAGTTCAAATACAAGATCAATATAATGATTTAACAAATAAAATCAATGAAAAAGAAAAATATATTAATGATACAAGTAATGAATCAATTGAAATAGTTATTAATTGGTATCAAAGATTAATCAATGATCTTATTGAAACTCAAACACAAATTATTGAAAATATTCAAAATGAACGTGATAGAGCTCGAGATGAATTAGCTCAATTTGATATAACAATGCATTCAATTGATAAAGATATTCAACAATTAAATCAAAATATGAATATTAATTCAATACAAATTAAACTTAATGATTTAGCAACAAAACTTTCAAATTATCGATTAACAAAAGATATTTATCTTCCTGATTCACGTACATTCCAACCTCGATATAAAGTTTCCTATCATTTTCAAGATGCATCATTAGTAGAAGAAGATTGGGACATTGAGACAAATGCAACAACTAATATTCCATTACCTTCTCATCTTTCATTAAGTTCCACAAATAGAACAACAACAACAGCACCATTATTTTTTTCTAATAGTTCACAAACATTTATTACTCCAAAGGATGATGATGATGATGAAGAAGATGATTTTCAATGGATTGAAGAAATTGAAACAAATAATAATGATGATTCGGAATATTTACTTGATCCAAGATTATATCAACTTGGTATTTCTCGACATTTTAATTATGATATACATTTAATTGCATCAAATGGCAATGATCTTTTGTTAGTAAATTATTTTAAAACATAAGAAATCTACATTATATTACATTTTTATTTTCTTTCAGATGTTATTCTCGTCAAACGAAACAATTGATTTTTATTGGTGATGGAAATGTTAATCCAATTATACTTCAATGGTATCATGGACATATAATACAACTTGTTTGGTTTGATAGTCTAAAATCATTTATTACAGTAACAGATGATAATCGATATGAAATTTATACAATTGAATCAACATATAATCTTCGTTTAAAAATTACTTTACGTACTTGTTTACCAAAAAATATTAATGATATTATAAAAGATAAAATATTTATGCGTACAGATGAGTTTCATATATATATTTATTATGAAAGAATAGATGAACGAAAACGATTACATTTATTAAGTTCAACATTTGAATGTGTACGATCATATTCAATTGATAAATGTTTTCAAACCGATGAACATATTCGTTCGCATGATAATGGTTTTGTTATGGGTCTTGGTATTAATCAAGAATACGTAAGACAATTAATAGATATATTCTAATTTTTGGTGTAAATTCATGTTTAGGTTGTTTTGTTTGTTCGATTGACAATAGATGATGATTTAGCAGGTATTTTCATTTGCTAAGATATCTTTGTGTTTTTTTTTCCACTAAAGATTAAAAATATGATTTTATTTTAAATAAAAAGAATATCTTAATTGGTTCAATGGATGGATGACAGATATTCTTCGAGTATAGATTAGATCAGGTCGATTAATGGAAATCTATAATTAGTTTAGCATTGTCGTGTCGATTTGACTAACGAATAGTGTTATTTTGTTCATTACTATATGAATCACTTCTATAGTCTCAATTGAATACGTGTGCGGAGCATCGAATTACAAAGAAAAAAGTTGTTCGAACTGAAATTTAAAACAATTTTAGTTAAATTTTTCTATAGAGTTTAGTGAGTTATGTTATAAATCATATCAATGAAAGCGAACTTCAAGAGATTTGTTGATTGAATTAATTCAAACATGAATATTTAAGATCCTTTTTTAGATTTAATGCGAAAAAATTTTGTAATAGTTTTATCTAAGTCTGGATCGATATAAGATCAGATTTAGCTGCATTATGACCGAAAACTATGAAAAAGAAGTTATCGAGATCGGAATTAAAAATAAAAATGATCTTGCACACCTCCTATTTCAATATAGTATCGTACTTTTGTCTGAAGATGTTCACAAGAAAAGTGAGTTGAGATCGACAGTGAGAAATACAAACAATTTACGAGAAAACCGCCTCAAGTGATTTATAGTTTTTGAGCTGATATTTTTCTCACGAGTGGAACCCAGTGAAGCTTGAAAAAATTAAATAGGATTAGGGCGTAAAGGTGTTTCTTCCAGAATTATGAACATTTTCCTAGATTTACAACAAGAGATTTTTCGAAAATTCAAAGTACAAAAATTTCGATCTGAAATTTTCCTCACATATCGATCTCATAATCTTAATAGCGATTTAATTGTGGCATTCAAGTCGATACAAGAGCCATGGTACCTATACGTCAGTACAAAAGTTTTCAATCACTCCAGGCGGCTCCTTGTTAGTCCATAATCCTCTCATTATTAGAAACTGCAATTAAGTATAAATTGAAATTGAGACTCTCGAGTATTGATCTTTGGAAAAAAACAGAAGTCTATGTGATGGAGTATAGAAAATTGTAATTTTTTTTTATATAAAATTCCGTATTTCTTTTAATCTCATAGTTTAAAAATAAATGCTTTGTTTTTCTGCATTTCAGGCCAGGCTGCTTCACAAATCGAAGATACACGTTTATTAGTATTTAATAAATCTAAGATGAGTTTTGTTCGCCGAATAACTCTATTGAATAAATATTTTCAATTACCTTTTATTGTTCATTTTATTAATATTTCATCATTTTTTATTATTGATCAAATTCATCATATGCTTCGATTTTTTCATTATGAAAAAGAAATCGGTCAAATTAAATTATTACCTTCAAATACTTCTCCAATATCTAATAGTATAACAACTTCAAAATCAAATATAGATTATCCATATTCATCAATAGTATTAATGAACGATGGTTCATTATTTATATCAAATAATACACAAAACTTAATTCAACTTATTCTTAACGATCAATCGAATGATATTGATGATTGGTGATTATGTTGTGATAAATTATTTTGTTGCTTTTTTTTTTTGTCTTCCCTCTTTTTCTTTTATTGTCATCTTACGAACAAAAAAAAACTATAGCATTGCAATATGATTTATGTATATTTGAAAAATAATAAAAAAAAGAAAATTTTTCTTCAGATGACAACAGTTAAATCCTTACATGAAGATTTACTTTATACAATTCTATCTAAATGTTCATCATCAATAGATATGTGGCATTTTCTACAAGCACTTGATTATGAATTACCTCGAATGATTCATTTACGTGCATTTTGGAGGTGAACATATTTTAGAAAGAATTTTATTTCAAAGAACTTTTTCTTTTTTCGTTTCAAGTCGTATTCGATTATCATCATTACACAATAAGAATATGTTATTATCGTTTGTTAAAGCAATTGCTATGTATTGTATAGATCTTCGTATTGATAATCTTAATTGGATGATTGCAGCTGATATACGTCGATTACTTTCAAAATTTCGTTTCTTAGTTTGTTTTCATACAGGAAATGTTGCATTATCAAAAAGTACATTAATTAATGATATTAAAATACTTTTTCCTTTTATAAAATATATTACTTTATTAATATCACTTGATAGTTCGAAGATATCATATGTATCTACTCGTCAATGTTCAATGATTGATGATACATTTCAAGAGATATGTGCATCATTAAATGAGATTAATCAACTTGAACATATATCATTAGTATTGCAAGATAAAAAAGGTACGAAAATAATTGATCCAACGAAAAAAATATATTTGTCTGATTCTCTTTTAGGAGCTTGCCTTTCTAATGCAGGTGCTCAAATATATTTTTCTTTAGTATGTGAATATATATCTAACATGACAAATCATTATAAACTTATATCAATTGAAGAAAATGGATATGACATTGACAATCGATTTTTTTCGTTGGAAACTACAAAGGTACTATCGTCGGAATCAATAAATTTATCTTTAATATCGACATTAAATCATTTAATAGTTTCTTTTCGATCGATGCCAAGTGTAAATTTAACATTGAATATAAAAGATTCGATGATAAATAAATTACAACTTCAAACTTTAGTATTACCATGTGTACCATCGACATTAAATTCAATCGATATTATTGATCTTAGTCAATTGAAAATACTTGATATTGGTTATGTAACTGTAAATGATCGAATAGAATTGACACGACTCGATGAAATGCTTATTTGTCATCGTCAAAATTCTCTTCGAAATTTAACTATTAGTTTAAATAAATGGCAATCAGCAAAGCTTGTTGTGGTATGGAAAAAAGAAGATAAGAGTAAACAAATAACAACAACAAGCGGACAATTTAGTTCTGTGTTTGAAAATTGTTTTAATCAAATTACGACATCAGATGAAGAAGAAGAAGAAACGGAAAAACCGATTTTGTTAGATTCATCCCCAGATGTCGAACAGGTTAGCTTTTTCATCAGTTGTGCATTAGATCTATCTGGATTAGAGATGTGCAAGACTAACAAGGGAACCGTTCGAAGTGATTCAAAGCTTTTAAGCCGATATTTTGCCCATAAGTAGAGTCCAATGAGATTAGAAAAAGCCCAAAAGGACAAGGGCCCATGGGCCTTCCTTCTCGAGTTATGGTCATTTTACTGGGTTTATCACCTATGATACGATATTCACCGAAAAATCAAATTAAGGAGTTTCGACCTGAAATT